TTTGATAGCATTTGCTTTAGTATAACATTTTTTTTTAGTGATGCATAAAGTTACATCTTAGAATTATTTATCTTTTTATTGCCGTCTTGAATCCACACCTTAACGTTTTATAATAGTATAGTGTACAGAGAACCTCATCAGTCAGAGCTACAGTGGTGTGAAAAAGTGTTTGCCCCTTACTGATTTCTTATCTTTTTGCATGTTTGTCACACTGTAATGTTTCAGATCGTCAAACAAATTTATATATTAGTCAAAGATAACACAAGTAAACACATCATGCAGTTTTTAAATGAAGGTTTTTATTATTAAGGGAAAACAAAATCCAAAACTACAAAGCCCTGTGTGAACAAGTGTTTGCCCCCCTGTCAAAACACTGGTTTATCGCACCTGAGTTCAATTTCTATAGCCACACCCAGGCCTGATTACTGCCACACCTGTTCGCAATCAAGAAATCACTTAAATAGGACCTGCCTGACAAAGTGAAGTAGACCAAAAGATCATCAAAAGCTAGACATCATGCCGAGATCCAAAGAAATTCAAAAACAAATGAGAAAGAGAATAATGAAGCTCTATCAGTCCGGAAAAGGTTATAAAGCCATTTCTAAAGCTTTGGGACTGCAGCAAACCACAGTGAGAGCCATTATCCACAAATGGCGAAAACATGGAACAGTGGAGAACCTTCCCAGGAGTGGCCGGCCGACCAAAATTACCCCAAGAGCGCAGCGACAACTCATCCAAGAGGTCACAAAAGACCCCACAACAACATCCAAAGAACTGCAGGCCTCACTTGCCTCAGTTAAGGTGAGTGTTCATGACTCCACCATAAGAAAGAGACTGGGCAAAAATGGTTTGCATGGCAGAGTTCCAAGACGAAAACCACTGCTGAGCAAAAAGAACATAAAGGCTCGTCTCAGTTTTGCCAGAAAACATCTTGATGATCCCCAAGACTTTTGGAATAATACTCTGTGGACAGACGAGACAAAAGTTGAACTTTTTGGAAGGTGTGTGTCCCATTATGTGTGGCGTAAAAGTAACACCGCATTTCAGAAAAAGAACATCATACCAACAGTAAAATATGGTGGTGGTAGTGTGATGGTCTGGGGCTGTTTTGCTGCTTCAGGCCCTGGAAGACTTGCTGTGATAAATGGAACCATGAATTCTGCTGTGTACCAAAATATCCTGAAGGAGAATGTCCGGCCATCCGTTTGTGACCTCAAGCTGAAGCGAACTTGGGTTCTGCAGCAGGACAATGATCCAAAGCACACCAGCAAGTCCACTTCTGAATGGCTGAAGAAAAACAAAATGAAGACTTTGGAGTGGCCTAGTCAAAGTCCTGAGAGAAATTGAACTCAGGTGCGATAAACCAGTGTTTTGACAGGGGGGCAAACACTTGTTCACACAGGGATCTATAGTTTTGGATTTTGTTTTCCCTTAATAATAAAAACCTTCATTTAAAAACTGCATGATGTGTTTACTTGTGTTATCTTTGACTAATATATAAATTTGTTTGACGATCTGAAACATTACAGTGTGACAAACATGCAAAAAGATAAGAAATCAGTAAGGGGGCAAACACTTTTTCACACCACTGTATGTGTAAAGTTTTCACAGTACAAAATTACAAAAAAGATGCACTGCTTTAAATACCCCCTCTACTCAAATGTGTTTATCTTTTTTTATACCCCATAAATACCTGCCCTCCATTATACTGACTGATGTGGGTGCATAGATTTCACATTCCTCTGCAGAAGAGGGTGGATGTCTGTTTGCACCCCTGAAATCTGATTTTCCAACATAGGATGACACAAGATCTGACAACCAGTTTGATTCGCCATGCAAATATCTGCAGGAGTGCAGTGAGAAACCTGTAACCTCTGGTCTAAGAACAGCCAGAACCAAATTTTCAGCAACCAGGAGTGGGAGCAAATGTTCTATATGCTGACAGCAAATATGTCAAAAGTACACAATTTTTGGATATAAATCGGACCCTGCAGCTTCTTTCCAATAGTTTATTATTTGTCATTTATATGAGACACATACCATTGTTGGAATATTATGTTGGGCTCTCTGAGTGCAGTTAGCCTGCTGCTAATCTCCATGTTATCTGGTACTAGATTACATTTTGGATCAACTGAGAAAATGAACAGATACCATCAAACTCTCAGCCAAACTATGAATACAGTTGCACATTTAGCTTAGACTTCTTTTATACAATTCATGCTGCGTAATAACAGTGTAAAACCACTGTGCCTATGTTAGCCACCATCTTACAAGCTAACAGCTAGTGTTGTACAAAAACAGGCTAGCCACACTTATTTTGGTGAACAGCAGGCTCCTGATTAGAGTGTAGGTATGTATGTGGCTAAAACATATACAGGTGAATCTCCCAAGTCTTCTCTCTTGGCATTGAATCGTCAAACACGGTGACATCACTGATCTACCTCTGCGAAGCTAATCTGCTGGGCAGTGTGTAATGCTTGAGCTCATTGTCATATATTTGAATATTCATAAGTCTTGAAATTAACAATGAAGGGCAAAGACCAGATGTTTTCGGGCCCTTTCAGGGGTTTATTGAACTTTTTTTGTGGAAACACTCTTAGACTATTTATATAAGTTCTCATAGAAGAGTATTTTTATGTACCTTAACATATCTCTGCAGGGGATCTTTAAAGTTAACAGACCATCCTGACAGTTGTTTTCTACAAAGCTGGACTGGATTACAGTTGGCAAACAACCACTAGTATTTTTAGTACCCAGTTCTGTATGTACTTAAACTTCTTAATATCAATCGCAGCACCCTGTTTGCATGCCAGCCAAAGTCTGGATGATGTGCATCATAATTTGGCAGAGATTTAATGTAGTAATATTCTGCCTGTTCACTTCTGTCGATGTGTCATAACTAAGCATTGTCAGTTTATTTTGGTTTTGCGGTTTGAGTGTGTGGCCTAAAATTGCTACATGCTTAGTTGTCTTACAGATGAGATCATGTAGAGCTTGACCTCGCATAAATTAATGAGGGATATGAAATCCTTATTAGCATTTGGATAACTGCACAGTAGAGCTTTAATCATATTGCTGTTTCACCTGTTACACCAATTTAGCATTTTGCTCATGCATGTGTGGTGAAATTCACTTCATTATTTCAAGATCAGTGATGACGCATATTAGGGAACTCCTGATCATGTTTATCTGACCCCCGACTCTGAATCTGAGTCATTTAATATTGAATGTCTGCCAAGTTCAAATACAAATTGTATTACCATTTATTTACTTAATATTTTATTTGTATTGTTTGGTATTCATTGTGGACAGCAAAGTAAGAATTTCATTGTACAGGGAAATGTGTCCTTATTTGACAATAAACGCTTTGACTTTAATCATATTTTCCTGATCAATACAGCTGCACGACAAGTTTTAATGCAGACCTACATAAATAAATCAAATATACTTAATGTCCTTAATGTTACGGTATGTGTAGTATCCATGGACCGAGGAGCAGTTGAGTGAAATAGTTGTAGCAGGAAGGTGTGAGCAGAATTTGGACAGCAACTATCCTGAACTTGAAGAGAATTCACAAGTTCAAATTTAATATCAAATCAATGCTAGTACTAAAGAGGCATGGTGCACCTGCAAATGCTCCTGAAACTGAGGCAAAGCTGGTTTTCCCCCTCCAAAGCTGCTATGTTCACTTCTCCATCAATATGGAACTCCGCTATAAAACAGTCGGCAGATGTTTTTCTTTTCATGCCACTCTGGGGTTTGCTTACGTGCACTATGTTAAGGACAGGTTTAAGGCAGCAGGTCATTTTTTTTACAGCTGGTGTACCCACTGGGTTACAATAAATAAAGGATCTGACTTCAAGGATCAAGTGGACAAAATCAGCTACAGGGATGGATTGGTTTGGGTAAAAAAAAAGTTGGATACTTTATTGATCCTGAGGGAAATTCAGGTTAAAAGAGTTCTTAAAGTTCGGTCATGGTAAACATGTGTGCCTACTGTTGCTGGTGTCACTGATAAATTTTTCCTCAAATTTAAACTCTGGTGTAGTTTTTAGTTGGGATGGCAAACCTATTATCCACCACATGAGAACAGTGAACAGCTGTTATTAATTTGGACACGGCCCCTACAATTTGATTTGTATCTCTTAAAGTGTAGTTAAAAGACAACTTAAAATAAAAAGGAAAAGAACTGGAGAGCTGATATGTCTTAATGAGTATTAAATAACCAAGCTCTAGTATGAAATCTAATATGCATTACTTGTTTGAAGAGATGTCAGATGAACACCTTTTTGTTTATTCCACTGGACATTAGTACACTTTATTAATTCATTCATTCAGAAAGAAGTTTTCTTTTCTTGCTTCGAGTAACACTTAAAAACCTGCTGTGAGATACTGTATGTACATATGACATACTGCAGTTGGTCCTGATGTGTCCTGTCAAGCAGGAATTATGGTCCACTCTGGCTCTAGAAAGATGTCTAAACATACCACTGTTAGGTTAGACATGTTCTCAAGGCTTAGCGAAATATCTGCAGTAAATTCATCTCCACACTACATAAACCACAATCATCAACTGCCCTCATCCACACACGCTGTCTGTTTTCTCTGTGTATGCTACGCTCTGCAAATCTGTTCATGAGGGGGATAAAAGGGTTTGATAAACATCCATTGGTGACACAAGATGGTGCTATGTGTTTCGGATAACTTCGTCTTTGTAGTCATCAAAGCAGTAGTGAAGTGGCCTTTTTGTTTGCTCCCTCAGAAGCTTGTTTTCCAATACCCACAGCAGATGGTATGTGTTTTCCATGGATGAATCACTGAGCCCGGTGGGTTTTGCGTAGCTGGCATAGACTATGTAAAGCCTGTGTGTGTGTGTGTCCTCCTGCTTTAGCTGTGAGAATGCACCTGTGTCAGTAAGCTATATATACCAAAAAGGCCTTAAACTCACTTGTGTGTGTGTTTTTTTATTTATTTATTTATTTATTTTTTTATTTCCTCAGACTTTGGAGGAGCCCCCCTACTTGACAGTGGGGACGGATGTGAGCGCCAAGTATCGAGGGGCTTTCTGTGAGGCCAAGATTAAGACTGCCAAGAGACTAGTTAAGGCCAAGGTAAGTCATATTTTAAAGTGCTCATGTTTCAAAATGAACATTTTATTGTCTGTGTTCGTGTGTGTGTGTGAAGTGGAATGCGGAATGCAGCATTTTTTAAGGCTCTCTGGGTTTGAGCACACAGCTCAGTCATTGACACCGTTAGATTGAAGGTGACCACATTTAACATTGTCCTAAACATTCCTTCAGAGACTGGGTTATTGATTAGATATATAGGATTGCATTGCTTCTGAGTGTGCATTTTAGTGGTCTACTTGTTTCTGATGATGCCAGAAGTCTTGTTGTGTTGTTCACATGCTGGAGCTCTACCACCTGGATAAGGTTGTTCATATAGTTGAAATACTGATCAGTCACCCAGCTGTGAACAGTGTGAGGCCTGGCCTAGCCCACCAGTTACCTATTACATCCTCAGGCATCCTTCTTGCTCATAGTGTCCACTCTTTCTAGCAGGAAT